TGGCTTCACTGTGACCACTGCTACTTAAGAGAGGTGATGGTATAAAGATGTAAAATCCACAGCAGTAAGGAAGCAGCCCTGAAAGTAACACTTAAACAGACTCATCACCGCATCACTACACACAGCACGAGTCTGTCCGAGCTCTTCCACAGGGACTGTCTGCTTACATCAGCCTTTCGCAGGCGTCACCTCCCTTCATGTCTGATCTACACCTTCAGCTCAATGCTCAACGTGACTTTGTTGAAGTTAGCTTAGAATGATATCTCTTTTGACATTTTCCCTTACCAGTTTTTGGCCTTGCTTTTTAATCACAGCATCTGCACTGAGCCCGTGATAGAGCGGACAAACTAGAGAGGGCATGTGCACAGGGGAGGCAGCGCATTTGATTGACTGCACCAGGGGCTTTAGATGCATAACCAGAAGTCCCTCACAGGAACATCAGCATTCCTTGTCATGACTGGCCAAAAGGAATTAAACCAAGTCACATACAGCATCATGAAATACTAATGTGATCTGATCTGACTGTCAACTATAATCTAGATCTGGACCGATATACTCATTGGCTGATACTGGCAAAACGTATGTCATCCAATACGCAGTTAAAAGATAATATTATCTTAACCACAACAACATGCATGAAAAGATGCTTGGGATTATCTAGAGAGTATTATAAAAAAAAATTCTCACTGAGTGGCTCCACATCCGTTGTTTACGATGCGATGTTATCAGCACTGTCTGCACCACACGGAGCAGAGCAAGATCATAAAAACCTCACCACAATCACAGCAAGCAGTCAAGCAGTGTAAAATAATGCAGAAAATTTTTAACAACGACCCCACAAACAGCCTTGTCAGTGCATTCTCGAACAAAGGTTATGGATATATATGTAAACTCTTTTTTTTTTGCATATATCAGGTTCAGATTCTTTTAATACCATAAAACATCGATAAACTCATATAAATTCAGTTCACTGTGACCCCAAACAAGCTCAGTATCTAATGATTCACCATGAACACGTTAACTAAGCAGAACTTAGTTTGAAAATAACCTTTAATTTGAAATGTTTTGCTGTTTAGTAACAGCACAGACTGCCTCCCCTACAACCCCACGGATTATGTGTTACACAAGGTGCTACATGAATTTGAATTATTATTATTATTATTATTATTATTATTATTAGTAATAATAATAATAATAATAATAATAACAGTATTAGTAGTAGTAGTATTAAAATGTGTAACCACATAAATAAATATGAAAAAGCTACGGTATTCTTCAATTTGGCATCATTCATTCAGCTGATAGCATTTAACAGGGAGTTGCTGGGATAGTTAGTTCAGCCACTGCAGACATGAAACTCTCTTGCTAGCCCAAGCTTTCCTGATATCAAGTACTTTTTCTTGGAACCTTTATCGGCTGAACTTTCCAGAGGAGCCAGACACATGAAAAAAATGTTAAGCTAGCGAATGAACCGTAAGATATTGCACACCTGTCTGTTTGTTGAGCTGACCATCAGCTAAAATTTACTCACTTCGTTCTTTAGTTATACTTTTGTAATAAAGGCTAGTAAGAAGGTTATAAGAGATTTATATAAATAGATGCGAACTAAAGTTAACAAAATGTTTTGCATATCGGCTAACAAAAAAACTAACAACCAAAAAAACTGTAAATACGCTAGCTAGCTTAACCATCCTGTGGCTGGCTGACAGCTTCACTGTTGCTCATATCGCGTTAGCCAACAACCGCGAGCTTAAACAATCAGCATCCCTCCCGCGTTGACCTTTATACATTATACAGCTTAAAACGCATTTTATTCGTTACAATGAGGCTTACCCTATATCAGTATTATTCCAAATCATGGGCAGTTCCAGCAATACATGCGGTGTCTGTCAATCCCTTTACGAAAGCCTCAAACAATGGAGGGGAAGCGAGAGGAGGGAGGGCAACAAGCGGTCATCAAGTGGCGACAGAAAGCCTAATGACGTCTTTATTCAGCGTCAGCAGTCTGTGTCAAATTAAAAGTCCTCTCAAAACATTTTCGCTGTGGCTTATTTTGTGGTTTGTCATTGACAGTAAAATTCGTTACTTTTCCCATAAAGTAATACAAAATGAAGGAGCGGTGTGAGCTGTAAACGCTAAGTCCTTCAGCATAGCGGGGTGTCCTTGGTGTTTTTGCTTTGTTTATGTGAAAGCGCGGAGCTGCTGTGGGGTGAAGGTAAGCTGCTCCCTTTCTTCCCTCATATAACTGCCAGGTTTTACTTTAATGCTCAACCAGCCAAATATATATATATATATATTGTATGAATGTTCTCCGCTACCAAAACAAAAGCTCCCATAAATGTCCTGACATTTAATATTTAATCCGTGCAACAACTAATTATCTAGCTAAAATGTGACAGTTAGCTTAACAGGCATATTAATTAATGGAGGACAATAGAATAATAATCATCCACTGCTTTTACTGAAATGGCTGCAGTGAATGTAACCTTAAAGTGGGGATGAATTTGATTGCGAAATATGACATGAGGACGACCTTTAAAAAAGAAAGAAAGAAAGAAAGAACTATAAACAAAGACGTTAATAATAGAGCACTCTGTTTTCCAGGATCACCCCCAGCCCTCAGTTTTCCCCAAAGCTAAAACAGCGACTCTCCTGAACGGGGACATTTCTTTCCATTTCCATCAGCTGATGCAGCCAGGTAAGCTGCAGCCTGGATGGATGAATGGCCGAGGCTGGATGTAATGCTGCTGCTGCTGCTGGCTGCTTTCTAGTCTAGTGGAGGTGTGGGGTGGTGGGGGGAGATTCTCGGTGTGTCTCACATTACATTGCTGCGCTCCCTCCATCGCGATCGGTCTCCTGCAGCCTGCGAGCGGATGAATGCCCGAGTCTGTGGTTTTGCCATCGCCAAAAGGACTCCATGTCTTTCTTGGTAAGAATATCGCTCCGCATGTGGTTTTGCTTGGTTGATGCCCTCTGGTGTAGCTGAATGGGTGACTTGTTACTTGTATAGTCACGAATCAGTTGTCTCAAGCCGGTGCTGGGACATTCTGAGTTCAGTCAGTCTTCTGTATAGACATTCAGAAATGCATTTGGCATCAGCCGGTTTCAAATCAGGTTTTTGTTAGTTTGTGAGTAACACAAGCAGTCAGCCTGTTATTATACATGTAAATCTGAGAAGGTTAGATATTAATACTGGCTACCTGTGCACATCCCTCACATCTAAATGGTGCATCTGATTATGTATGCAGCTCTTCTCTCACTCTTTTGGGACACATAAGCTGCCTCTTTGCTGCCTGTTACCATCACTCTAACTCTCTTTCTCCATTCACCATTTCCGATAAAAGCCCCGGTGAGAGTGCCTTCATGGCCTCTACTTCCCCTGTGCTTGCTTCTCTGCCTCATTTCACTCTGACCCTATCCAATCCCCCGCGCTGCCTGGCAGCACATCTCCCTACACTTTCCACCCCCCTCCTCCTCCTCTTCCTTTAGAGCATGTCTCACATGTGCTCCTCCTCCCCCTCCTTCACTAGGACTGTTCCTGCATCTCCCACGCTCAGGTCCAGCCCATGGACATAGAGGAGCGCTATGAGGACATCAGCCACCAGTTCCTGGTCAGTAGCCAAGACTCTGTCAGCATGGAGACAGGCGTCACACTGATGGTCTTTCATCGTATTATCATTTGTCACCTGTCTGGAGCTGCCTATTACTTACTCAGTCTTGTTAAAGACAGTTTTAAAAGAGAATGAAATCATTTTAAAGATTACCTATTATTATTAATTTTTCTAACCTCATTTTTTTCTCTTTGAAGTTTGAAATTAAAATGAAAGATTAGATTAGAAAAATTAGGTCTCAATGTAATGTAATATATTTAGACTGACTGGACCTGCAGAACAGTACAAGTGTGCAGTACAAGTCCCTACACCACGTTATACAACTTTCAAATATTTGTATACCAAGCTAGTAATTATGCCATGTTTATAACAGCCTAAATTTACATATGATTGACTTAAATTCTTATTCAGCATTTACAGCAGTCTGACAATTTTTGCCTCCTAGACGGCCAAAAATACACTGATAAGTGTGCATACACTCACCACATTATTAGAAACTTCATTAGACTGTATTTAATGTGGTCATTCATTGGTGAATCAATATGTAGCTTAATAGGTTCCCTTTAACTCTGATAATAATACCTTAAGGCTCCAATAAATTAGCATCCTACGATTCCCATGATGCAACTTTTTTTTCTTACATTTTGAATGCTCTGCTATGTTATACCCTCAGGTTTTGGGGCGTTACTATGACATCATCAGACTTTACTCCAAAGCTCCTTCCCCCACTCCTTCACCAAAAACATAAAAATTTTCCAGTCTAGATGCTTTCTTCTATATTGAGTACTTTATATTTAATATGCATTATTAGCAACTTAATAATAATTATGAATGTACAGCTAATGTGTGATGTCACTTCCTCTTGCTGATGCAGAGTAAATCCTGGGGTGGAGTGTGTATCCCTGAAATCAGTCCAAGACATACGCAAGTGTCTCTGTGAAACAGACATCCCCAGAAAGCCTCTGCATCACTAATACTCCCAAGCATCCTCCCCTCACTCCCTCCCCTTTGTTCCTCTCTGTGTCACAGCGCCACCTGCTGGCAGCCACCTCACACAGTGTGGGGCGAAATAGAAACCCAATGTCACTGTGACACTTCAGCTCCTTTGAGGTTGTAGATGGAGAAGATTGTAGGGTTAAGTGGCAGCTGGTGGCTCAACAAATGGAGGAGGACAGGAGGAAATCCTGCCCATTGGTATTATTTTACATTAGCTGCTTGCTTTCAGTTTGTGAACACAACTGGAACAATTTCAGTGCAGTCAGTACAGAAATTAGTGGGAAAATGTTCAGTGAACACATCGGTGCAGTGTTCACGGTAAACATATTTGAGACTCGTCAAATATGTAAATGAATGTTTCCTTCTGCTCTGGGCTCGACTGCATTCCCTTTAAAACCTTGTATGCAAAGATGGGATTGCTTGAATCAGGCAATCGTTGCATTTAATTTACATTTAAATGAAATAATTAGGAAAAAGTGACAATAACAGAATAATGATGATTCTTTTTTGCAGAAGAGATGCATTCAAATATTACAAAGTAGTGAATGTTGTAAATTGTGAAGACTGACTTTGATTTGCTTTATTTTTTTTTCAAAGCAATTATTGCATTTTTTACTACACAGCATGTACTTGATGTCTTTAGCTGTGGTGTTCCAGGATAAACCATTGTTCCGTCCCTGCTGACCTCATACACTTCTGTTGTTATTCAGAGACTTTACACCCTCGCGCCTTATTTATCTTCTCACGCATAGCTGTTTAGGCATGTTAGTATCAACAAAGGTAGATTTTATTTAGTGCTTAAACTCTGATGTCATCTGAAACAGAACAGACATACTTCCAGGGATTCCTCTCTTTAGTATTTTAGTCTGCTGTTTTTTGTATATTGTTGGACTGTCACAGTGATTTAAATACCTTAGATATGAAGAGACACCCAAAGTCAGACTTTTCAGGATAAAATGGTTCGGTCAAAAAGCTTTTTAGTCTTTCTATCAGGTTTGTTCCACATTTCAGCACCAACACTGCTTCATAAGCACCAGAGAACAGGATACAGTCTGTGTAGATTACATGTCCTAAGACTCGCAAGTTTATAAAATCTTCAACAAACTAATTTTGTTAGCAACATATACACATTTGTGCTTATAAACACTAATGATTTATTTGGGGAAATTGTGTATTGCATGACTTTTCTTAACCTCTTAAATACATCGTGGCACCTCTGCACTATTTGAAAAGCCATTTGCCAAAAAAAACCTTAGACTTTGCACGAGTTATGACAGAAACAGCATATAGTGTTGAGAGTGAGGAGCCAAATATGAAGACAGTCAGGACTGATGAAGGTCGCAGATGATTTCCTGTACATTTTAATCTGTGTATGTTCTCTCCTGAATCATGTTTGTTTCTGTTCTGCTGGCCTTGTTTGTGTGTACGTCTCTGCAGAGCTGTGACGGTTCTGAGTACACTCTGCAGGGCCCAGCGGGTGGCGATGACATCACAGGGTTGTCGGCCGAGCCGGCCCACTACCAGCTACTGTCAGAGCTGGGTAAGGACACACATCCAAGCATAAAAATGAGTTAAAGATCTTTAAAAAAAAAAATAGCAGTGCAATTCACTTCATGCCGACTCACCGTGTCACAGGACGGGGCTTCAATAATCTGAGCCAGGTGAACATGGCTCGCCACATCCCTACTGGCCAGCCGGTGGCCGTCAAACAGACCAACCTGGACGAGTGCACCGAGGAGGAGCTGCTGCAGCTCATGGTGATTGGAGCCCTACATGCTGTCATGTATTTGAGATATACGCGGTTGTACACGTGTCTTTATCCACTGGATATTTCTATATTATATCCCAGAATGAGGTACTGCTGTCCCGTCTCTTCCGTCACCCCAACCTGCTGACTTCTCGCCTGGTTTTCAGCTCCTGCTGCCAGCTGTGGGTCCTGACACCGCTCATGGCCTACGGTCAGCCACAACCACACATCCACAGCTTTTTATCCTAATGTAGAAGCTTTCATGGCTTTTTTTGTTATTTTTCCTGTGCTGTGATTTTTATAATTCTAGCACTAGCTCCATAAGTAGCTGTTCGACTGGTCTCTTCCCTGTGCTTTGCTGTGCAGGTTCTGCAGATACTTTACTGAGGACATATTTCCCAGATGGAATGAGTGAATCCTTGATAGCGTACCTGCTGTACGGTGTGCTCAAAGCATTGGAATACCTGCACCGGATGGGCTACATTCACCGGTCAGTGGAATGTACAAGACACTATAAAGCTAAGCTATAAGACAACATATGTGTTAGAAGGGGAAGAGTATTTGTATCTTTTGTAATGTGTATTTTTTACACCTGTATCTGTCCTCTCAGAGGGGTGAAGGCCAGTCATATCTTGCTGTCAGGGGAGGGGCGTGTTTACCTCTCAGGGCTCCACAGTGTTTACAGTATGATGCGTGAGGGCAAGAGGATGAGGACCGTGTTCGACATGCCCCACCACAGCCCGGCACTGCTGCCCTGGCTCAGCCCTGAACTACTGCGACAGGTCGGTGTCATGCTTCCGCTTCAAAGTGAATTCTGCACATCCCCAGCTCCAGATTTTTGCTCTGCCATACCTTGCATGATTCATACTTTAAAATAATGCAATAGTCAGTGAGACTATCTCATGTCTCTATGTTGGTGTTGTTAAACGTTGCATCTGACCAATCAGATTGTATGGAGCCTTTGTTTATAGAAAATTCTCTTCTGGTGTTTTCTTTATTAGTTTATACAATATGATACAAATATTATCAAGTTAGGTTCCTGTTAGCCAAATTTAGGTTATTCATGTAGGTTTGCTAATGATGGCTTTTCAATTCAGTTCAATTTTATTTATACAGTGCCAACTTACAACATCAGTCGCCTCAGGGCGCTTTATATTGTAAGGTAGACCCTACAATAATACATACAGAGAAAAACCCAACAATCACATGACCCCCTATGAGCAAGCACTTTGGTGACAGTGGGAAGGAAAAACTTCCTTTTAACAGGAAGAAACCTCCGGCAGAACCAGGCTCAGGGAGGGTTGGGTTTTTAATAGCATTAGCTAACTTCTTGGCTAATCCTAACTGAATAGTCAGACAACATGATTGGTCAGTTAAAATGACCAATGATGATGCAGAAACAACACCAACACAAGGATATCAGATCAGATCTTACTAGTGCAGCACTTTGGGAAGAGTGTAAACACATGTTTTAGTAGCTAAAAGTTACAGATGTTCCCTAAAAAGGACAGGTGAGCATGCCACTTCATCAGTGAGCTCCTCGCTTGTTACATCGGTTTTCTAAACACCAAGATAGTCCAGTGGTCAACGTCAAAGTGGCTACATATAAAGTCCACACAACAATAGCCAAACAAACGTGTATGTGTGTGTAAGAGGGCTCCTCACCCTACACACATGCTCTTTTAACTTAATTCCATCTCCATTTAAGCGTTTTGTTCCTATTGGCTGATCAGTAGGATGGTTGTGGGTTCTGTGCTAGATGACTGTATTTAGAGGACCAAACACTGGATCAAAAAAAATCATCAAAAATTATGTTTGTTTGTTTTTTCTTTCGCTTTTGTTTTGTTTGTTTTTTTAACTAAAATTTAGCCTGTTATACGTCTCCTCTTTGGTGTTGTCCTCAGTAGGACCTGCACGGTTATGGAGTCAAGTCAGACATCTACAGTTTGGGCATTGTGGCCTGTGAGCTAGTCAGCGGCAGGGTGCCTTTCCAGGACATGCCACCCACTCAGGTAATCAGCTATACCCAAACTGCTCTAGAAGAATGTGTAGCTACACACAAATGTTGACATCGTTGTCTATAGTTTGTGTCAGTGTGTGAATCTTGCCACTCAGATGCTGCTTCAGAAGCTGCGCGGTTCCCACTGCTGCCTGCTGGACGTGGCTCCCTTCCCGCTTGGAGAGCTGGGGGGTTTGAAGGTGTCGCGCTCTGGGGTGGACTCCGGCATTGGGGAGAGTGTGGCCACGGGGAGCCTGACGCACAGCACCACCGCTCCTCCCACGGACCGACCTCAAAGCCCCGGACCCAAAAACCACTCTGCCACCCTCCACAACCTGGTCCAGCTGTGTCTGCAGCAGCAGCCTGAGCGCAGGTGATTTCAGTGAATCAGCAGTCAGATGGAATTAAAAAGAAATACAACCACATTCACCTACAGCACAGACACACAGACTTTAATGCTGGTGTTGGTTCTGTTTGTCTTCCACAGGCCATCAGCATCTGAGCTGCTGACCCACGCCTTCTTCAAGCAGGTGGGTTTCTTCAGTCGGACGTCTTCTTTGAAGGCAAAACTCCATAAACAGAACAAAGGCAATAAATTTAAAAGAGTAGGCTTTTATTTTGAAAACTTGATGTTTGACCAGGGACTTTCTGTTCTGTTACAGGTGAAGAGGCACACCAGTGACTCCTTCCTCAGTCTCATGTACCCAGCAGTGCCCCTCGCCAGTCCTGAGGACCCTCCAGTATCCAGCCCCCCCACCCCTTCCTGTCACACTCCAGCGTCAGCCACCGCTGACTCCACCGAGGCCATTTGGGATTTCTCCTAACTGCAGCATCTACACTTTCATTGACTAGCAAGCCAAACACAAGACAATCAAAGCAAAGCAATGAGGCCAAATTCTACTGTGCTTTTAATTTTTATTATTAACCCAACTCTCTGAGCCTTTTTAAATTGTTTTTGTAGCCTTTTTTTTTTATGCTTTTTGAAGGTGACTTTTTGGGTCACAGAGTGGTGAGGCAATTGTGAAAGTGCTGGAACAAAGAAGCTGCTCTGATTTTATAGTAACGATAATAATGGGCCGTCAGCGAGCGAAAGGAATAAGAAAAAAACAAGTTGCTTGCTAATAATCACGCACTTCCTCTGAGATAAAAGCCCCCCTGTAAACAGTTGTGCATATGTTTGTGCGCATTTTGTTGTTTTTAAAATGTTATATCCATGTTTGCATTTTTTCTTTCAGGTGTGTGACTCTGGTACAACCAAGAAGTTATTTCTTAATAGTAACCACTTTTTGTAAGATATCATGTTTGTGTTGAATTTTCTTTAAAGTGGACCTATTATGCTCCATAGAGTTCCTCTGCATGATTCACAGTTCAAAGTCTCCCTTATTTGTCTCATCCTGGGCTTTTGTGCTACTCCTCTGTTCACGTTGTGTCTAAAATTGACCATTTCCATTCTACTTAAGCCTATTTTGTTCTGACTGGCTGCCCTTCGTTAACTCCTCTGTGTTCACAACCTGAGATGACGGTATTACTTTAACATGATACAAATCCAAGAATAGAAAAAAACAAAATAGGTCCACTTTAAGGCACTGTGTTTTTAGACTGTGAATAGTGAAAGGTACACTACGTGAGATTTAAACATATGTGCATATATATTCATCTGTGTTAGATGTGTCAAGTTTTCTTCAGTGACAAAGTAAGGCAGTAGAAGTTGCCTTTATACTCATGCAAACAGAAACTGCTAATATCTAATCCGGCAAGCTTTTAACGGTTGTTTTGCCAAAGCGTAAAAAATACTGTACAGCCAAAAAAAGGTTAGTCTGCATACCAGTTAGCTTGCCTGTAGCAAGCTAGTTTGTTTCATGGCAACTCTTTATTAAATGTTTTGTTGACACCAAATTTGAAGAAAAGTTAAATTGAGGCCTTGGTTATTCCCTAAAATTATATATATATTGTTGACATATACTTATTTTTTTATATTCAAAAATTAAACTCTTTGGTTTTACCACAGGTTACATTGTTTAAAGAACAAAACAACACATCCACAATCAGCTGTGTAAATGCATTCCTGCTGTAGGCTTGAACATATATGCACATAGAGTTCCTGTATAGTATCCTTAAAACCTGTCATACATCGGGAGGGGGGGGACAAACTGTGCTATGAACAATAGAATACATGAGCAATAGAATATATCTAGTGTTCCGTGTAGTAGTTAGAAACCACAGGTAGAAATAGAAAAACAAAGTTTCCTGTCCCGATCATGGAAAGAAGATTTCTACTGTGCTCTATGACCACTTCTCCAATAATGCCTTTCTGTTTTACTGAACCGTGCATTTAGAATACAGTGATCTCTCTGTAACTGTGATTAAGTGTACTGTGTATGAAAACTGTGACTTACAGTACATATCAAATATGGTAGCTGTATGAGCCTTATATATATACACGTGTTATAAAAGGATACCGAATGTTTTGCCAACTTGTGGTCATGAATCTTTTTGCAGTTTTTGTCTTTTGGTGGTGTGATGGTTGGCACTGTTGCCTCACAGCAACAAGGTCCCAGATGGGTCAAACCTACCAGCTGCGGCCTTTCTGTGTGGAGTCTGCATGTTCTCCCTGTGCCTGCATGGCTTTCTTTTAGTACTCCAGCTTCTTTCCACAGTCCAAAGACATGCATCTTAGGTTAAGTGGTGATTATAAAATATGTTATGTGTATGTTAGGTAGATAAAGTGCTTTAAGTCGTAGAATAAAGCACTGTATGAATGTATGGTGAATGCGACACTCTGTGTGAGTACGCTGCATTACGTTGTGAGAGACATATTTAATACTAACAAATAAATTTAGCTGGTTATTTTTCAAACTTCAAGAAAATTGAGTAGCAGAGTGGTCTGTTATTATATGCAATGCTCTCTCAAAGTTAGGTAGGTACTAGAGGGAACTCCAACAGGTCTCTCTCATAGATGTTCTGCTGATCATCTTGGAGTAACGCTTGGCAAGTGTGAGGAGAAAGGACTCCCTTTTAACAGGAAGAGACTCCCAGCAATGCACAAGCTACAGAAGTAAGTAGAAGAAAATGTAATGACATATAATAGTGGCATAGAAAGACATGGAGAGTGAAGGGATGGCAGAGGAGAGGATGGAGGATGTTTTAAGCCTGTAGCAGAAAAACTGCAAGATGCTCTCATCCTTCAGAATTGTAAGTGATGCATTTATATATTCTGTAGATAGGACTTTTTCACTGTGTCTTTGTTTTAGGACTTTAGGAATTTCAATCAATTACAGATACTCCTGATCTCAACTTATTATGTATATTAAGCCAGAGCTTCCCAAAGTGTGGGGCCCGCCATTGCAGGGGGTGCGCGGTATAAAAAGGGGAAAAAAACAAAACGCTTGGACACTGCTAGCACGGGGCGCCCACACAAACGCAAAGCAGGAGATGAAGCATCGCTGAATATGTTTCCAAACCAAGTTCATTCTAAGCCAAAGACTAGAAAATATGGTGAAGCATATCTTCCTTTTGGCTTCACCTGCACAAGTGCTGAGGTAGGTCTTCCTTGCATAATTGGTTTTCCCTTCGTTGGGAGCAGTGCTGGGCTGTTCAAATCACGGACAAACAGTATCCCACATTCTTTTTAGTTCACAAACACTTGTTGTAATGACTAATGTCGGATTATAATATTATTTTATGCCATGTTA